AAGTACAGAATGGAGGATGAAAGTTTAGAAGGAAAAGAGAAAGGAGAAAGGTCAGAAGGAGAAAGAGTAAGGGAGTTTTGGAATGGGAGGAGGGATGTTCTGGAAGGAAGGAAGTTTGGAAGGCAGGAAGAAAAAGAGGATGGAAGTTTGAAAGGATAACAGGAGGAAGGAAATTTAGAAAGATGGGAGGAGGGGAGTTTGAAAGGAAAGTAGGAAGTTCAGAAGAAACATCAGAATCAAGAAGGTTTGGAAAGTTTTGGAAGGACGAGAGAAATGAAGTATGGAAGGAAGTGAGAAAAGAAATCGGAATAAAAAGAGTAAGGGAATTTGGAAGGAAGGGAGGAGGGACATTTGGAAGGAAGTTTTGGAAAAAAGAGGTAAGGGCAAAGAAGGAACAAATTTAGTAGTTTACAAGGAAGAGTGAATGGAAGTTTGGAAGTAAGGGAAGATGGAAATCTGGAAGAAAGGGAGGAGAGACATTTGTAAGAAAGGGAGGAAGTTCAGAAGAAAGTTCGGAATGGACAAAGAAGGAAGACAGAAAGAAGTATGGAAGAAAGTGAGAAAAGAAGTATGGATGGAACTGAGTACGGGAGTTTGGAAGAAAGGGAGGAGGGATATTTGGAAGGAACTAAGGAAGTTTGTAAGGTAGGAAACTTTGGAAAAAGGGTCAAGTAAAAGGAATGAAGGAAGGACGCAAGTAGGAGAGTTTGAAAGGAAGAGGACGGAAGTTTAGAAGTAGGGAAGGAGGGAAATCTGGAAGAAAGGGATAAGGGGTGTTTGCATGGAAGGGAGTAAGTTTGGAAGCAAGAAGGAGGGAAATCTGGAACAAAGGGACGAGAGGCGGTTTTGCAAGGGAGCACGTTTGGATGGAGGACAAAAATTTGAAAGGAAGGGATGAAGTTCAGAAGAAAGTTCGGAAGGATGACAGAAAGGAAGTTTGGAAGGAAGGGCACATTTTGATACGTGTCCGAGGGAAACAGGGACCTGACTGGAGTTTTTTAATAAAGTTCTCTTTATGAAGCCGCTGTAAGTGATATGGTCCGGAAGGAAGTGCACCAGATAAGAAGCGCTGGATAGAACACGTTGCCTGTAGAAGTGTATTTCAGGCCAGTGCAGAGTTTATCAGCCACTTCCATCTCGCCTCTCAGCTCAAACACACTCTGTGTGTGAGTGTGTGTGTGTGTGTGTGTGTGTGCACGCATGCTTGTCATCTCTATGAGCTCTCTATACACACTGCTGGAGATAAAATACTTCAATATGTGGGCAAAAGGAAGAACCTATGACCCTGAAAGGAGGGGAAACTGTGTGAAGCAGATGTGTGTGTGTGTGTGTGTGTGTGTGTGTGGTGAGCAAGAGAGAGAGAGAGAGAGAGACAGAAAGAGGCAGACAGAGAGAGAGGGGGGGAGGGGAAGCAGGAGAGAGAGAGAGAGAGAGAGAGAGAGAGACTGCAGTAGAACCAGACCATGTGCACTCACCTTGTTTTTAAAGTAGACTTCTATAGGCATTAGAAATCCTGCATATCCTGACTCTTCTACTTTATACGGAGGCTCCTTACACACTGCAATCAACACCAAAACACACACACACACACACACAATCAGTCTGCTGTTCTCCATTTCATAGGTCAACACAGCTCACCTTTGCCCCGGGGCTCCAAACTCATCTGTCCTGCAGAGTTTAGTTACAACCTAATCTAACACACCTGACTCAAATATTCACACACTACTCAGGTCTGACAGAGATGTATGCGTGTGTGTGTATGAATGCGTGTGTGAATGCACACGCATGTGTGTGTGTGTGTGTGTGTGTGTGTGTACATGACATTATGACTAGCATTAAAGGCAATGAGATGAAAGATCTCCGGAAGCAGCTCGTGTTTAATATCGTAAACTCACTGTTTAATTATATGTACTGAAAATGTAACAGTCTATTACAGGAATTTTCAAAAACGCTGCACATGTGAACAACTATCTGATGGAAGATAAAAAATTAAGTATGATTCAGAGTCGTTTCGATATGATTCAGCACTGCCCAAACACATCTACTGCTAAACAGATAAACATTGTTAGCTCTGAGGCATCGGAGGCCACCAGAGACAAAGCTGTTTATAATTACGCAGTTGTTTTTCATCTATCCATACTACACTATGTAGTGTACTACACCACCTACTGTATTACTTTATTCATTGTATAACTCCATCTAGTGTACTACGCTACCTATAATACTACACTATTTACTGTATAACACTATCCATAATACACAAAAATGAATTACACACCAACCATACTACTCTATGTTACTGTATAACATTATCCACACTACACTATCCACACTACACAGTCTACTGTACTACTCTATGTACTATATAACACTATCCATACTAAACTACATACTGTACTGCACCACCAACCATATCACTCCATTTAATCTAACACTATTCATACTACACAACATACTGTACTGCACCACCAACCATACTACTATTTACTGTACAACACTACACTGTCTACAATACTTCACCATCAACCATACTACTCCATTTACTCAATAACATTACCCATACTACACTGTCTACAATACTCTATACCATACTGCACCACTAAACATACTACTCTGTTTACTGTACAACACTATCCATACTACACTGTCTACAATACTATCTACCATACTACACCATTAACCATACTACTATATTTACTATATAACACTATCCATACTACACTGTCTACAATACTATCTACAATACTACACCATTAACCATACTACTCCATTTACTATATAACTCTATCCATACTACACTGTCTACAATACTACATCATTAACCATACTACTCCATTTACTACATAGCACTATCCATACTACACTACCCATATAATGACTAAAATGATTATTTATCTTCAGCAAAAAACAAGGACTAAAACTAAATCCAAATTAGACATCAGGATATAAAAGTAGAGATCAAATGTGCTGCCAGTCCTGCACTGTTTGGACCTCAGTGTATTACAAATGAAGGGATGGAATTTTATTTCATATTTTTTCTAGGATTACTGTGTTATTTCAAGAATTTTTAGAGAAACCGTCATAAAGGGTTTTTTCAGCTCACACACAGGAAAGTTAATAATAATAATAATAATAATAATAATAATAATAATAATAATAATAATATCATCGCTGATGGTAGAACTTGAGCATCTGTTATTCATCCAAAAACAAATCAGGGCATTACTCAGGATCACACAGTGGCTATAGAGAACATTTTATCGCCCCCCTGAAATTAATGTCTGGCTACAGCACTGGAGGCCACGCCCCCTTTCATTAGGAACAGCAGGCCGACAGAAGCCACACCCCCTTTCTATACGAATTCAGCTCTCCATCTCCTCGTATTCAACACAATGACGTTAAAAGGAATATTCTTGAATTTAAAGATGTACGCGCCCTGTACACGTCCTGTGAGACGTGACGACGTGTTGGGAGGGAACACACGCACCTCTCTTGGGCTTGGGGAAGCTGTCGTGCAGGCGGAAGATGACTTTGTCTACAAAGTGCTGGATGTCGCTGTTCTCCGGCCCTCGGACGAACACCATCCAGTCGTGTGTGAAGCCTTCGGATGTGGCCTTCTTCCGCAGCTGAGCGCGGTGGCCCAGTTCCAGCTTCACCTGTACTGTGCACTGCATACACACACACACACACACACACACACACAAAAGTAAACAGTCAAGCCATTGAATTTAAGTTGAAATCACATTGAAATCAAGCTGCAGCATTAAAAAAATAAAAATAAAAAATCATGTATGTACAGGTTTATATTAATTAGGCATGTGCCAACATTTTCATATATATTTAAAAAAAAAAAAAAGTAGTACAACAAAAATATTACTAGTATTATTAGTACATATACTATATACATATCAGTACTATACACAGTATATTTCTCTGTTCATATTACTACATTAAATAAAAAGTAAAATATAAAATAATTGATAAAAATATCATATGTTTGATGATACTTTATTTAATGTTTAAAAAGATATCTATTTTACATTTTTCCATATGTAAAAATAACAGAGAAAAGGAGAAAAAAAACACTTATTTGAATTTTAAAAATTAAGTACAACGATTTAAAAGAAAAGAAAAAAACAAAAAATAAAAGAAGTAATGAAAAATATATCACAGCATCTCAGAAAAGCATATTGTGTATAATATCACGATATTGATATCACCCAGAATAATGTTAATAATTAATAATAAAAATGTTATTAACATGAACATTATTGTTAATATTCAGACATTAATACTCTTCCGAGTAACGACAATTCTCTCTACATGCAGTGAGTCACTTTTCCCCCTACACACTTTTCTAGTAGTTTCTCTGTGAATAATATGCTTTAAGACGTCCAACTATACCACAGTTAAAGTCCTCGTTTGCTAAGAGGAGTGTCGCTTTAGTGGCCAGCTGCGTTAGTAGATGCGGTCAGTTTAGCATAACCGCAAATCTGCATGCAAATAAAACCCCTGCACTATGTGAGGCATTTTTTCCCCCGAAGTCTTTCTGCCTACAGAACGTGTGGATGCATTTGTATTTAATTCACATGCTGATTAATTCAATTCATTTTAATTTTCATTTCTTCCAACAGATTGATGATAGTGCGACTTGGCAGGTAGGATGTTTGCAAAAAATCATTTCTTTCTGCTTCTTAACAAGTTAGGATATGAAGATAGATATATATATGTTTTGTACTTGTGTGTGTGTGACAATAAATACTGCTTTTATTGGTCATTAATCAGAAATTAATTACGCTATCTGAGCAGCCATTATTTTTCTTCTTCTTCTTCTTTCGGCTGCTCCCATTAGGGGTCGCCACAGTGGATCATTGGTCCGCATATCTGATTTAGCACAGTTTTTACGCCGGATTCCTGACGCAACCCTCCCCAATTTTATCCAGGCTTGGGACCGGCACTGAGAGTGCACTGTCATGTGCCACCCCAGTGGCTGGGGTCTTTTCCCCGGCCGGGAATTGAACCCGTGCCGCGCAGGTGAGAGCGCCGAGGCATAACCACTAGTCCTCCAGGGACCCAGCAGCCATTAT